CTGTCAAAGAACATGTATCTTACAATCATAATAGAGTGGTAAAAAACAACGAATATCATCATAAAAAAAAGATATTCGATGCTACGTGAACACCAAAAATATTACTTGATAATATCTCATTAAAAGTTTTTTTTTTTTAAATCTAAAATAGATTGTTATGTTTGATTTTTTATAAGCATTAAAATTAATATGCTATATAACATGATTTTTCTTTATTCATATTTTTTATTAATTACCACATTTTTCAACTGTAGGTCCCTTAAGTTTTAACCAAAAAAAAAATATTGTGTATTTAGGCGCCTTGGAGACAATTATTTTAAGATAAGAAAAAATAAAAAAAAAATCGCATAATCTATTTAAAAACTGATGTTAATAAAGTTTTGTGATAATTTTGTCTCACGAATTGAATATAATATATTCTGAACTGAAAAGCTAGGGAAGTTATTATTGAAGGGGACCATTGCATAAATTTGAAAAGGGACAGAGTACAGCGATCCATCTGGGTTCGTATCGTAATTTACACCGACACAAAATTAAGGATACAAGATAAGACTAAAAGGCCCACAGAGAGGATTTTCTTACAGTTGCGTGTGCTGAGAGGAAAGTCAAGTTTTAAGATCCTTGTTGTTTTTATTTGTTAAAAGGTTCCGATTCAAAATTTGCACTCATCACACTGGGGAATAGGGTTTTTCTCTTTTTCTCTTTTTGTTCCCAATTGTTAGTTCGTCTACCATGTTCTTTATGTTTTAAGCTACTTTCAAAACTTTAAAATTAAACAAAAACAACAACCATTTTCTCAAATAAATTTGTACTTTGAAAATGTTTTTAGCTAATAATTATGGAAATTTAAACATGTTTTATAAGCACCACCCATTTAAGTGTTAATAAAAAAAACACTTTGTCCGTTTGTTTTATTATGAAAAATAATGTTTTTAGTATTTGTTTGTCATTAGAAAAGTTAGTCAATGAAAAATATTTTCTGATCAAAGAAAAATTTGGTTTGATTTTCAGAAAAGTATTTTTCTTTTATTTTGGACCAAAAACACTTTCTAAAAATTATAAAAAATTAGAAAAATCATGTTATTTACTGATTATATTAAATTTGATCCTCAAACTTTTAATTGTTATTTATTTTTTTGATTTTTTTCAATTTCATCCCTTAGAATTTGATTTAATTTGATTTTTATATCAACTTTAGTCCTTATTTTTATGATTTTTATTTACTTTTCTCTTATTATTTTTTAAATTGAAAATTTTTATCTATCAAATTTGGTCCTCATTCTTTTGATTATTACTTATTTTATTTGAAATAATTTATGAAAATGTTATTTATTATTATTTTAATTTCATCATTTTTTAATTTTTTTATCTGTTAGATTTGACCTCCATTATTTTGACTGTTATTTATTTTATTTAAGATAATTTATGAAATTATATTTTTTTCAATTTCATTCTCATTCAACTTTTTAATTTGTAAGATTTATTTCTTATTATTTTAATAAATTTGAAAATAAATATTAACAAGTTATTTTCTTGCTTATTTTTCATACATAACCAAATACTGAAAAATATTTTTCAACTTATTTTCTATAATATTATCAAGCATTAGAAAATAATTCACTTTCAATGAAAATAATATTTAAAATATGTAGAAAGGCATTTTGTGTATTAAGGATCTTTTGCAGTATTTTCTTAAATCTAAAGGGATTTCAATCAATTCAACAATTGTCTTTTTATTAAAGTTTCTAATTTCACGATAAGAGGATGTTATAGTTTACACTTAACTAGTACTTAAAAATATATTTTTATCAAAGTTTTATATCATCATTTTATACTTGAAGTATCAATAACTCCTTAACTAGAGCATGTTTTATAATAACAAGTCTGATAATATAAGATACCTTTAATTTATAGTAGATATCCATCTTAAATGCAGGCTTATCACATAAATTAAAGGATTGATTGATGAGTTTAACTATTGAAATTGAGAAGATAAAGAGAGGGCAAAGTTTAGAAAAAAGATATTGGTTTAGTCCAAACTAGAACACCATTCAGTTATTGGATCATACCTGGAGCTATAGAATTTGAATTTAGATCTGGTTATATGGATGGAAAACCAAGATATAAGCTTAAAACTTTCATGAAAAGTCCAAAATTTAAAAAGATTGTTTTCAAGTTCAAATTATGGTAACAACAGAGAAGTCGGAATCTGTCCTGCAGCCCATACATTATTCAGTGTTCAACCCATATCTCGAGTTTTAGAAGTTCAAATACATCGATTTTTTTTTTTGCTGGAAAGTTTAGATAATTTTCCAAAACTTTAATGGAGACAATCTATTCAAAATTTGATGTTATCAATAACGTTTTATACCGATAAGAAGATAAGGATTGTTACAAAGTCAAGAGGTGGTCATCCACTAAACAATTAGTCATCAAATTAATAGTTCTAAATTTTGACATATAAAAAGAGGCATTTTCCATGCATTTAGGCATTTTGGTTTTCAGATCAAGATCATGTTCTTGCTCTTTTTCTTTATATTTTTGTAATGTTTAAGTTTTGCTCTCATTAATCTTTTATTTATGCCTTTTATTTCCTTTACTATACTTATGTAATTATATTCTCCTCTTGTTTATGTATGTTTCTCTTCTTCATTATGTTTAGTTAAGTTTATTATATTAAGGTGAAAAGGTTTTACTAATGGTGTTAGGATAAGTATAATATAAACTCAATATGAACTTCAATGATTATATTCTAAACAACTTGCTATTAACATATTTTATCATTTTTATCTTATTAATTCTTAATACCTTACTTGTTAAATGGTTAATCTAAATTTATGTTGTATAACACTTAGTACAACAAATACTTTGCACTTTCATAGCCAATCGTATGGTATAATCTACACTTGTGTTATGAAAATAACTTGATTTGATGTTAATATGAGTTAATATCATGAATTCTTGACAATATTTAAAAGTTTGGTGTTACTTAAATAAGATAATTAATATGATCATGTTAATAATTTATAATAAGCTATTAATGTCAAATCATCCAATTGGAACCTTATTTGTTTGTGGTTTCCAGTTGAGTAATAAAAAGAATTTATATTATACTTATTTGAAATATCATTAGTGGATTATTTAATTTTGACAACTATTTTTATCATTATTTGATCTTTACATCTCAAAGTCTTCTTTAACTTATCATTACTATCATCATCATCATTATTATTATTATATAGTTAACATTTTTATGATTCGATACTAGTCTTACTGAATTATTTATTATTTTAATATTTTTATATTTTAAAAAAAATATCAAACTCTTTCATGTCATCGTGTCAATACTAATAATTAATATTTTCAAAATAACTTAGTTACGAGAATTCCTAATTAAATATCGGTAGGACAATTGTATGAAGTATTGATGCAATGTGTTTTATTAAATAAAGTATTGATAAGTGTATGGAATACAAAATGGTGAGTACTCTTAAAGTACTAGAGTTATTTTTCAACTATAAATATAGTAGTACAATATTATTTATATAAGAGGCTAAATGTCACGTAAGAAAACAAAAATCGATCCTTTCCTTGTACGATGTAGGTGTTTTTTGCAATATGGAAAGTTTTTTTTTTAAGGTAATACCTAAAATTCCATATAATATACTATATTTAATAACTACTAACATAATGCATTTAATACCTAAAATTCCATCCACAAAAATATATTAAATCTCTAAAAAAGAAAAAATGGTGGGTGTGATACCCAGCAACATGTGCATCAGAAAATTTAATTCCATGAGTTATAATGATTCCCCCATCCCTCTCCTGATTTTTTTTTCTTGGAACAGTTCTTGGTTGACTCAATATTATATATGGACTTCAAATTTCACACTAGGATTCCTTGATTATTTCCCCCCTTTATTTTAGAGACAATGAGTAAGGATGAAACAGATGAAAAAAATTTCCAAGTCAGGATTTTATTATGATTATCAGCAAGAAAAGAAAGAGAGTGTAACCTGTCTTTTTACTCCACAATCAAATAAATTAAATTACAGGAATATTTTAAAAGCAAAAGTAGAATGAAACCATTACCTAATTCCATACATACCCATCACCAAACCCTACCCTAACAAAAAAAAATTTAAAAGAAATTAAAAAGGTATAACATTTATGATATTGTTTTTATTATTGCTGTGTACATGAAATCATTATGAATTGAAACAATAAAATTATAATTTTATCTTTGATAAAAAAACATGAATAGCCTTGAAAATAGAAGTGAAGTGATTTTTTTTTTATGCACAATAAAATAATTTATATATCTTAAAAGAAATGAGTTAGCTGGTGGACAACAATATTTTTTATTTTTTCATTTTATTAGCACAGTAAAATAAGATGTTTTTTTTTTATAATTTTGTTAATTAAATTGTATGTTCTATTATATTTCTCAATATTTTATTTCATTATCTTAATTGAATTATTTTTTTTATTACACCTCTCTATATTTTAGTTCATTTTATTTTATGTCAGATTTAGTCTTTATTATTTTTATTTTTTTTTAATTATTTTTTATTTGAACTTTTTTTTTCAAGTTTATCCTTCATTATTTTACTTGTCAGGATTTTATTAACCTTTTAGGTCATTAGTTTGAAATTTGGGCTAGATGTGCTTCCATCTGATATACTAGGTTACATGTTTTATATATTAACTTAACTTGACGTGATCCAATTTATTTATTTATTTATTTTGGTTATTATTTTTTATTATATTATTAAATTCAAATTAATAGAGGTTTACCTTCATTTTTTTTTTATTTTTTTAAAAACATTACTGTTATCTAAATATATTTGTACATGTTAAAAAAATATTTAATAAAAAATTTGATGTACCTCACGGAATATGGTATGTCCCAAAAAAAGGGCAATACGTACAATACGCACTCATGCGCACTATAGCAATATCCACCATTAAATAGTATTAACCTTTTACTTCCACCGAAAATTATCATTTTCCTTTTATTATTAATTTTCTCTCATTTCTGATCGGCGATCAGCGGTAACCTCCCTTCTCCTCGCCGCCGACTCACCCAAACCCGACATGAATTGTTCACCCAATTTCTCAAATCCCTTAAAAACCCTAAATCTCTTACCATTTTGTACGTGTTAGCTTCCAAAAATAATAAATAAATAATCCTTAGTGAGTAACTTTGTGCTTTTGTGTGTGAGAGGTAATCCTAATAGTACACTGAAATTCTCAAAAAAATCAGGTCACTCTCTTGATTTGCTCGAGCTCTCAAATACACGTGTCGATCTGGCTCTTGCTTCATTTCCCATTCCTTGCTTAAATCTCAGTTGAGTTTCTTTTTTTTATATATATTTTTTCATTTGTTTATTTACTTCAAATTATGTGTAACTAAGTTTGTAATTTTGTTATTAATTAAGGATTTAGAGTTGATTATTGATATTCTGAGGTAAATTGAGTTCGATCTATGTGCATTTGTTTCAGATATTAAGTAGTGGAACTTGGGGTTTGATTTGGGGAGTTTGAGCTAAAGTTTCTGCTTCTGGCTTTTGGTTTTGAACTGGGATTTTGGTTTGGGAGCTGTGTAATGAAATGGGTTTCGATTTTGGAACTGGGACTGTTTGGTTACTGAGAAAATTGAAGAAATTTAATGCAAAGTTTCTTTCTTTTTTTTTTCTTTTTGTTTCATTGCGGAAAG